TATGTGATTCCTTTTTCGATGTGTAACGATTCATCTGTGTAAATATCCTATGGGACAAGACAAGCACCAGCTTGTAGGTTATTCCCATAGTAAAACTTTGACTTTGACCCTTTGTACCCTAACCTGGAAGTCAGACTACACCAACGGCATGCACCGCGGATATTTACTTCTTCATACCTTCATGACTTGTCATAGTCTGTTCACCGCAACGCTTGTTCCAGCACGTGCAAAGATAGCGTGACAAAGTAGACGATGGATAGATATACGCAAAATATGCCCCAGCCATCTGTAAGCGATCGTTAACACTAATCTCACAGTGTCGAACCTCCTCCTTACTCACCCAATGCTCCCACCAGACAACAGTAATGTTTCGATGGCATCGGTGGATCAATACGGAAAGTCGATTAACATCTTCAGCTCACAGAGACCACTTCTCTCAGTCGTAAAGCAGTTAAAACTGTTTGACTAGCTAGTTGGGACAGGTTGTCACAGTCCAAGCGTCGCTGTGTAGTCCGCTTCGAGCGCCCACCAAATGACGTAAACACCTAAGTGTAACCTATTGCCTGGTTGTATGCGAGGGGCGTTCATGCAACCCCTACTGTTTGTCGGGGGCACCCGGTAGGAGTTGCTTCTCTGACCCGGAGGGCTATTTGCGGCTTATAGCGGTGATCAATCTGGGCCCATCACTGACGCGAGGAGGTTAGACGCCAAGTGACGTACCGGCAATTTAAGCGTTTGAAGTTCGCAGCGGTTGGGAATAGATGATGGGCAATGCATAGGGCAATTAGCCGTTAACCGTTTTCCGAGAAACAGGAATCTGTCCCAAAGGGCCTCAAATGCTTCTAGTTCAAAAACAGCTGACCTACTCTCGCATTTACATCTGCTAAGATCACGGTATCTGCCCGGTTCATGTGGGGATAAAAGCGGGGTTTTTTCTTCTGTGCTCCGAATTAACACCAAGTGGACTCTTGTCCACATAAGTTTCCCTTTACCTTCAATCTGGATTTGATCATTTGTGGGGTTGATTTATTAGTCTGGTGATATTATTCTCCTTTCGAAACTTTTTGGCGGGCTTTGAAGGAATGGCAAATCAGAACCTCCTCCAAACNCGTGCAAAAAAACAGACTTTGGATATACAACGGTGAATTTCGGTAAAACAGGCTTTGGTGAATCCGATTTAGGTATGACGCGATGTTGTACTTTTACCACTAAATCAGGCACTCCCTGATGGAAGTTACATTCAATTGCAGATGAAGTGTCACTCAGATCCTCAGTCACTTTAACACTAATCTTTGGTATTTGTCAGCTTGTAAACATGAGGCAGCTGTTGTGGGAAACGGAATCCGGATGGAACGACTTGGATGAAAACTCTTAGCTCATTGTGATTTGCCGCGGTACACACTCACAATCAGATCGCAATAACGTGTTTTTGGATTTCCCGTTTTGTTTACCAGCACTTTTTCCCGCATCCCCGGAAGCTTGAATCACATGCCTTTCGGTTTTAAACAGCAGTGACACGAGGATACCATGACTTTCATGGAATCTCAGTTACTGTCATATTTTATTTGCTGGTGGTTTTTATCATTGATATTACAATAAACTATTAGTATTGATTTTCCGTAATTGTAACATTCCGTGTTTCTTTTATCATTCGTGATTTTCTTCGCTTGTTTCACTGCTGTCAGTACTTCGGTCAGACATAAATGCGGCTCATGTGCGCCAGATAGAAGATTTGAAGTGGATCGGTACCGTATTGTTTGCAGCTCTCCGCCAACACTTTTCGTCTGAGTTCCAAGGACAAGCGATTGATCCGGCATTGGCGAAACAAATGTGCGAATGGCTCTTTCTCAGTGTAAGTTTATCTCCTTTGTTTCTTCATTGCGCAACTATTACGTCAATGTACTGACAACTTGGTTACGATCGTCAGATGCTGCCTTTTGGATCTTGATAACCAGTCTAGAAATCGTGACGAAGTGCAAACGCGTGTTACACCGCCTATTCAGGCTATATGAATATCTAAATTTTCCTAGCCAGTTCCGCTACTGTATAGGGGCTCATTGCCCAAATGTATGGCCGTTACATTTTAGCTCATCCCCATTGGTTGTTCCAGACTGATTATTCTATGGTTCAATTACCCGAGTGATCACTCCTTCCTTGGAGACACCTCTGGTTGTTTTATTGCATATTTGTTGCGATCGCTTTCATTAAGGAATAACTGAAAATAACAACGACACACTAGCTCCATCTTTTTTTTTATAGAATAGGTGTGCTATTGAATCTGACGGCATAGAAACCGTCTACCATCATGGCGACTTTTACTGTTTGATGCATTGCACACACATCAAGAGATGCGTATGGATAGCATTTACATTTCCCCTTCAACTTCCTCTACTCTCATCTCAACGTTTGCAGATTGGAACAATGATTCGCAGTTGTCGACCGGATGATCACCTGTTTGTGCTTATGCACCTTCTTCGACTTCCCTCCAAGTTACTCAAGTCACTATCCGCCTTAATACAACCTCCCGATCCGACGGTTGTGTGGAATCGGTCATGTACAATTCTGGAGTTTTTGGAACAGCCCGAAATCCAACTTCACTTGACCATGTTTGCTGCCTGTCTTCGTCCAGTCAGGTGAGATTATGTTGTTCAATGATAATACACGGTTTGAAATAAAAGTGAAGAGTAGAGTATAAAAAAGACAGTATCAACCAGGAATATTGGGCGCAAAGAAAACATTGAAGAATTACAATGGAACACAGAAAAGTCAAATCAGGTTCCAGTGTATTAATACGTGGTCCATTGACTAACCATTCGCCCACCCAGTTGGTTTCAGTATCCAATCTTTTTGGCTATCTGAGTATTACGGGTCATGCGTTTGACGGGGATCCGACGGGTTTAATGTGGGTGAATTTTCTGAAACTGATTTGTTTCTTCTCATCTGACCCTTTTCGTTGCTTAAGTAGTGGTTTCTGCTTGAATATAACCTCTGATTCACTACCGTTTATTCATCGGTTTTTTACTCTGATAAACATTTTCCTGAAACTGAACTCTCATGCGAAGGTCAACTAATAGGTGAATTGCTGTACCACACAACGTATGACAGACATTGAGCTGTTTCCAAAGCCTATGGTTCGAATGTACTTAATCGTTCACATCGGTTAGGTGGGGTCTTTTCATGGTCCCCATTTCCTATCTGTTTTGTTTTGTATACGACCTATTTGTTCCTGTCAGTTTCCTACCTTTTTATCTAAAAGGAACCGTACTCAGTTTCTTCTGGCTACCAATTCCGACATAAAAAATGTTCCGGAATCGAGCAGTGTGCCTTTTACACCCCAACCGGATGGCGATAATCCATGGGTTGTGGTTGATTCGGGTGGCGAGAGTGACAGCGAAGAGAGTTTAGTGACTGGCTGTACGAACACAACCGGGACACTGTCCTTCAGTCGGACCATTCGTCCCGAATCCTCAATATTTATCGGACCAAAAGACATGGACCGATTATTGCGTCAGTTGAATCTGGTTCGCCTGATCAGACTGTTGGACGCACGTGGGCACGTGGGCATTGTGCTATGCACAAAGGAGTCCGGTTTGATGACCCTGATGGCCTTCGCCAACCGTATAATGGGGTTGATTGAATCTTGCGCTGAAATCTATTCGCAACATATGGATGCACCGAAATCACGAGATCATTTGGGATCGTGGCGAATTCTGGCCAAACGACTGGCGAGTATTGTGAGGTGAGTTGTATGTGCGAATTCGATTAAACAATACTCCATTCATTATGGCCAATTAAGTGAATATCAAAATAATACTATTGACAGAGTTGGGCTACAGAAAATCTGCTGTTACCTTGGTGGAACACGGCATCGCAACGGAGTTGATAGCGTGGCCTTAAAATTTTAAGTGTCGCATAAATACGGAATATTCTTAAAATTTTCGTCTTAGAAAAAATAAGAGGTGTCAGACATGTTACTGAAAAATTTACTTGAAAAAGAATCGCACTTTCCTGCTAAAAGCTATTTTAATTTGGTTATAGTTGCGTTAGCTGAAACAATGCCGTAAGCGTAAAACATGAAAAGACGATGCTTGGTAGCCTTATATTTTGTCGTGTTCCAAAACCAGTTGAATATATCGTAAATATTCAAAATGACCACAGATAAACCATGTTCTTGTATATTATTCCCTTTCCATTTATTTATTAGTACCTTGGTCACAGCTGTCGGATCTCGGGTGCGTTTGGCCTGGTCCCAGTATCAGCAGATGCAGCAACAACAGCCGTCTGTGCCTAGCAATTATGAAGAATTTGCTCGAGTTCTCTCACAGTATGATGCGTTCTGTTTACGTGCCTCAAAATGCCTCCTTTCTGGCTGTGGTCTTCCATCCACGCATCAGGACGCTGTACGATTAGTTTGCTGGCGAATTCTGGCCCAGCTGTTTCCGTTCGGTTTCGTCTCCAGCCGATCGAAAGTGACATTCCTCTATTTGATTATTGAATCGCTGCTGCCATTTTGGAGGCCAGACTCGGTTGAATTGGCTCAATTACCCGATCATGTGATCGGTCCATTACATCAGACATTGCTGTCCATCGGTCTGAATGATATCGGACTTGGTTCTATATTGACCACCTTGGGTAAATTGGCATCTGTTGAGTGTCGTCCGGTTCCCATTCCCGTCACCAAATCAGGTTATATTGCGACTTATGCGTACCACTTACCGGAGTTAGAAGCTACCTTGGTCCGGGCCGTCATTTCCATCATTTTTGGGGTAAGTGAGGTGTGTTTGTGTCCGCGAATGTGTCGTATTTCATTAAAAAGAACGCAACGCCCCCCACCCCTTGAATTCCGATAAACAGTGCAGCAGTTTCCATTTACTTTTTTACGCCGATGCATCGGTCATACTAAACTCCCATTGAATTTGCTTATCAATGTGGATAAGCCATGTAATCTCTTAGATTCATGTAATCATCCCTATAGTTGCGTGAAAGAGCAGTAGTTTGTGTTGGGTTTTCTCGAGGTCCGGTAACGATGACGCTTTTGCGTGTATTGCTCTAGGTATATATTCCGCAGTTCTTAACCTTTTGTTCAGTTTACCATTTCTTCACTGACTGCCCTAAACGAGTGCTCAAGAAACCACCACGAGTGCAAGGGTAACGAGTGTACATATTAAACTAAATCACGAAAGCTGGTTGCCAACTGACTTCCAAATCTGGAAATGTCTAGCATTCTGTGATCAGATGGGCTACCATTATAAAGTTGTCTGTGTTTTGATTCGTTTAACGAAGTATCGATACTAGATTGTGCAACTTCCATGACACGATATTCTGAAAATCGCGAAAAAGTTTTTATTACGCGCACAGTGATGTACAGCACATAATCAATGACATACTGTAGAGGGGAAGGTATGTGGGGGAACATTCAAATAAGAATCGATTTGCTAATTCTACTTTTGAAAATAGTAAAATTATTATTACTTGGAAATACGGAGATGGGAAGCGAGTTCCACAATTTCGTAGTCCAGGGGGAAAAAGGATTGAAAGATAGAAGTCCGATATCTAGGAACAGAAACCTTATAAGAGTGGCTACCCGTCTGAGAACGAGATGGACGAGAAAAGGTCAATGGAAGGGGGACCGCTGAAGCGAGTTAGGGAGAGCAGAAACCAAAATAGTAACGATAGAAAAGAGATAACAAAGCAACTGTCCGGCAAAGGGAAAGCGACTGCAAGTTGGAAGTAAAAGACGGTTTGTCGATCAGTCGGATGGCCTTATGTTGCACACGGTCGCAAAAAGAGCGCAATACGAAGCTCCACCCCATACGTGGTTGCAGTATTCAAGCATCGAGCGGATTTGAGCTTTGTATAAAAGGAGTTGGTGCTTGGGTGTAAACAAACGCTGTGTGGGGAATATAAACCAACTTTGCGCGCAGCGCGAGAGGCAAGTGTAGAAATGAAAGGGAATCAACGAAGTGGAGAATTTATGAAAAAATCAGGAGGGAGAGAGAATTTGTGGAACGAAGGGGAGGTGAGTCCAAAATCAATTGCAGAGAATGGAGGACATGTTTTCGAGAGACGGAGGAGAGAGGATTTGGAAGGATTGAAACATGCATGGTTGGTAGAATCCCATGCGGAGGTGAGTCACGCATCGGAGGCAAGAAAAGCAATGATGACATTGCGATCGTGATCGATATTGTTGGTGGCCTGATGGTTTGTTGGGTGAGAAACAGAATAATGGAAAGTGACATCATCGACAAAGTAGTGAATGGAACTAGAGATGGCCCATGAATATATCGGCTAACACTGGTCCTAGTGGGCTTCCCATTGCCACACCATCGACTTGTCGATATAAGCTGCCATTAAAACAAAACTGTACATCTTTTGTACACAACAGCAGGAGCTTCTTGAGATGATGAGGTGGTACGCTGAGATTACTGGCGTGGGAGCAAACAATGTCTAT